GTCGGACACGACACCACGGAGACGCGAGTCGGTCAGACACGACACCACGGAGACGCGAGTCGGTCAGACACGATAAGACTGATACAAACGAGTCGGTCGGACACGACACCACGGAGACGCAAGTCGGTCAGACACGATAAGACTGATACACACGAGTCGGTCGAACAAGATGCAGCTCCCTGTGTCACTCGATCACTGCCCTTTACTGACTGATTTGTCAATACTAAGCTTTAAGTTATACCACGGACTTAGATAATCTAATTCCGTGGTTATACACAATAAACGACGGGTACGTGTTTAGCTTTGAAAACTTTCCTATTGTTGAAATTTAGTAGCTGCGATTATTCAACTTCATTAAACATCTTTTTAAAATGTCGGAGTTTTTTTCTGGCAACAATTATAGGATAAATGTGCAATGAGCGAAACTTTAGGAGCAGCTTTCCTTTGGTTGTTTGTTGTAAGCACATTATTACACAGATAGGATCAAGGAACACTTTATAAATATTAAAAACACGGACCAAATAGAATAATTAGGTTACGGGGATCGGTATTTTGTGAATATTTACTTAAGTCTTTTTGACTACGGTTATCCCTCGTTTGATCAGGCCTTAACAAACACACACTCCGTAAGGTGATCAAATAAGAACACTTATGATTATTGATATTTGAGGAGACACGTTGAGGAGTAGGCCACCTGTGTATGGCTGTGATATATCGTAATATGTCGTAAAACATGACAATATCATTTTAAGGAGTCGTGTTTGATCATCATCAATGATCACCACGTGCACGGTCTAGTGACCCGATACTGTTTCCCTGGGGACCCAACGCTGCATACCCCGGGCAGACTGGTAAATTAGGGAATAAAACAACCCTGTAAAACCCGGCGAGACAACAGCTGTATATCTCTCTCACCCAATTTAAACTACTCTTAAATTAGAAATTCCTTTAATAATAGAAGAGTATTCCGGCGCATATTAATCTTAAAACTGCAACGGCCGCGCCAATTCGAGGCCAATATGTGCTTTAATTTGTACAGAGAATATGTACACTCCACGAGATACTGTTTCTAGACGATTTATCAAGTTAGAGTAAGGAATGACTATTATATACATTGGTAATTTCTGTGACAAAGCGAAAAGTTAACAACAAAAACAGATAATATCAAACAAGGGTGGTTGGCGGAGTGGCGCAAGGACGGTCGGTAACAAGAAGCCCAGAGGGCCTGTATCGCTCAACTGGATATCTAAGCAATCATGGCAAAATATTCTCCAAATAAGATCCCAGGGATAGTGCCAGACCCCAAAGCCAATTATTGTAGCACCACCATTTATACAATTTTGAATCCCCACAACCTAAGAATGCTTCCAGTCAAATTAAGATAAATTCCAATCAGTGGTTAAGAAGTGTTTGAAGAAATTGTTGACTGACGATCGCGACGGACGACAGGCGATGGCCATGGACAGACAATGGATGTCACGGTATGGCATGAGCTCACCTTGGTCCTTTTGGAAGGGAGATAACTCCTACTACATGATATAACAACAACAACAATAATTGTGAGATCTATTTATTACTAGTACACTGTGCACGCATGACAATCTGTCTAGTAGGAGTATTTGATTTGACCTTAAGTAGTTTATGTATTTTTTTTACAGGATGGCATGCCATAAGTATTAGCTTTACTTAAGGAATTCTATCACCAAACACTGTTACAGGGAAATGAAATAAACAGATGAAAAATATCAACAATACTTTTCTGGTTATTATGCTAATACAATATGCAAAATACATAACTTACTCTATTCATTTGTGGCAATATTGATATTGTTGATATTGTTCACAGACTCTCAATGCCGCTGTGCACTGATGGGTATCGAACGGGGAGAAGCAAATTAGTTTGATCACTGTGTAATAGCCCATATAGTGCCTGTGTACCTATACTATACCAGGAAATACAGCATCCCACTGAAATACTCAACAACAGGTATGTTTGTGTTGGTAATATTGTCATTAAAGGTATCAAATTTAATATGTGTCTCTGTCACACAAAAAACAACAAGGATCAAAATGTCTGGTTAATGAACACAATTCCAGCAAAAAACACTGACAAAACTCTATTAAAGTTATCACTGAAACACTTATTTACCTAAACACAATACCTAAGTACACATAAACAATGCTACATACAACATATTGTACTGGACTACTGCAGTACCAGAGATATACACATTATAGTTACGTACATTTTGGTATACTTTACTAAAGAGCTGTTCCTCATGATATGCTGTAGGACACATGTTCTGTGTGTGCAACAGCTCAATGGTAACAGCTACATAAACGTCACAAAATTATACAGGAAGGTAACAAAATCATACTTGAAGGTCAAATTATCATTCATGAAGATCACAGTATCATACAATGTCTTGAAGGCCAACCTATCATACAAGAAGGTCACAAAATCATACTTGAAGGTCACACAATTGCAATCATACATGAAGGTCAAACTATCATATATGAAGATCACAGTATCATACAATATCATGGAAGTCAAACTATCATACATATAGGTCACAAAATCATACATTAAGGTCAAACTATTATACATGAAGGTCACAAAATCATACATGAAAGTCAAGCTATTATACATGAAGATCACAGTATCATATGTAACAGGGATATATATATTTATTGTGTGTAAGACTTTGAATGGATTTTAATATCATGAAAGGTCTTGGTGTAAGGAACCTTAAATGGTTGGTTGGTAGTATAGTTGTGTGATGAAAGAATGTGGTGCGAGGACCCTTAATGTTTGTGTGTTACCTGTATGTAAGAATGTATGGAATGTGAGTACTTTTAGTCACATGACATCAACGGACATTTTTAATGGTCATAGCTAACAACTGCATGATTTTTAATTTAACTAATATCACTCAGCACCAAGGCGTTGAAGGGTATAGATCGACTTTTGATATCAGAAGAGATTTGAAGTATTACGAATATAGAGAACTGGGTGAGTTTTTAACCATATATGTTCTATTATTATCATTTATATGTATATTCTGTAAGGTATTATCAGAATATTGGTAAAATGTAATGTTTAAATTATTATTTCACTACAAATGTATTTAATCATAATATTCTGATTAAATGTAAAGAAATGGATAAAGAGTAAGTTTTCAGTTTTCCAGATGTATATAATTTCTGTATTCCAAATTATAAAGGGTAGTAATTAGTATTGTTTTACAAGGTATTTATTTATTTCATTTACAGTATGACATGGTTAACACTGGGTATACATAACAACTGCCGGTCGTACGACGATTATTAGGCAAAGGGATTTGTGTAAACCCCCGCAGGATCTGTGGGGTAAGTTTGAAGTGCATTATTTTATATGTAGAGATATTTTGTAAATAATAGTATAAGGTAATTTCATATCTATTGTATATTGATATGTAAAAGTAAATTCGGTATTATTGATATGTACATTGTAAAAATAATATTATATTTTTACATGGAGCGAATCAAAAACTATTCTAATGTACTATTATGCATTATTGTGATAATTGAAGTATATGTACGAGTTATGTCCCTTGATGTAAATAGATTCTGTGAGAGAATTGAGTGAATGTGTAATGTGTTGTATTTGTACTTGCAGGGTTTTTTAAACCACAGAATAAAAGGCATAAAAGAACCCAACAGTGTTTTGTGGATTTTACACACGAATATAGCACTGAAACACATACATGAAGGTCAAACTTTCCTACATGAAGGTCACAATGTCTTACATGAAAAGGTCATTGGATACTACATGTCCAACTGCTCGGCTCCATGCACCTTTGGATGTCCTATGATGTCTGAATATGTTATCTGGAAGCTTACTTAATGTTTACTTAATGTATATAAACAAACACAATCAACAAGGAAGTTAAAAAGCAACAATATTGAAGGCAGCTGGTCAGGCTACGATACATATTACCCCGCGGGACACAGTGATACATACTGTAGCACTTTTGGCTACAATACACATTACCCCGCGGGACACAGTGATACATACTGTAGCACTTGTGGCTACAATACACATTACCCCGTGGGACACAGTGATACATACTGTGCACTTGTGGCTACAATACATATTACCCCGCGGGACACAGTGATACATACTGTGGCACTTGTGGATACAATACATATTACCCCGCGGGACACAGTGATACATACTGTGGACTTGTGACTACAATACATATAAACCCGGGGGACACAGTGATACATACTGTGGCACTTGTGGTTACAATACACATTACCCCGCGGGACACAGTTATACATACTGTGGCACTTGTGGCTACAATACATATTAACCCGCGGGACACAGTGATACATACTGTGGACTTGTGACTACAATACATATAAACCCGGGGGACACAGTGATACATACTGTGGCACTTGTGGTTACAATACACATTACCCCGCGGGACACAGTGATACATACTGTGGCACTTGTGGTTACAATACATATTACACCGTGGGACACAGTGATACATACTGTAGCACTTGTGGCTACAATACACATTCCCCCGTGGGACACAGTGATACATACTGTGCACTTGTGGCTACCATACATATTAACCCGCGGGACACAGTGATACATACTGTGGACTTGTGACTACAATACATATAAACCCGGGGGACACAGTGATACATACTGTGGCACTTGTGGTAACAATACATATTACCCCGCGGGACATAGTGATACATACTGTAGCACTTGTGGCTACAATATACATTACCCCGTGGGACACAGTGATACATACTGTGCACTTGTGGCTACCATACATATTAACCCGCGGGACACAGTGATACATACTGTGGACTTGTGACTACAATACATATAAACCCGGGGGACACAGTGATACATACTGTGGCACTTGTGGTTACAATACACATTACCCCGCGGGACACAGTGATACATAATGTAGCACTTGTGGTTACAATACATATTACCCCACGGGACACAGTGATACATACTGTAGCACTTGTGGCTACCATACACATTACCCCGCGGGACACAGTGATACATAATGTAGCACTTGTGGTTACAATACATATTACCCCACGGGACACAGTGATACATACTGTAGCACTTGTGGCTACCATACACATTACCCCGTGGGACACAGTGATACATACTGTGGCACTTGTGGTTACAATACATATTCCCCCGCGGGACACAGTGATACATACTGTAGCCCTTTTGGCTACAATACACATTACCCCGCGGGACACAGTGATACATACTGTGGCAATTGTGGCTACAATACATATTACCCCGCGGGACATAGTGATACATACTGTAGCACTTGTGGCTACAATATACATTACCCCGTGGGACACAGTGATACATACTGTGGCACTTGTTGTTACAATACATATTACCCCGCGGGACACAGTGATACATACTGTGGAACTTGTGGCTACAATACATATTAACCCGCGGGACACAGTGATACATACTGTGGACTTGTGACTACAATACATATAAACCCGGGGGACACAGTGATACATACTGTGGCACTTGTGGCTACAATACACATTACCCCGTGGGACACAGTGATACATACTGTCCACTTGTGGCTACAATACATATTACCCCGCGGGACACAGTGATACATGCATACTGTATCGAAGCTGATACAACTGGTCATTAGCTACTTGCAATCTTGTTATGATAAAGATCTCTGCAGTGTTAGGAAATATTTGTCAGTATTCTCCTGTTGTGCAATGTATATTCTGTTGATATGCATCCTTTGTACATATAATGTAAAAAGTTGGTTTTATATAAAAAGTCCAAAGACTTAGTGCTATAACAGAATACTACCAACAGGCAGTCAATCTAGTAACACAGAACATACAGTGTATACTCTAGTACTCCACAACAACATGTCATCAATATAATTAGGTGAAGGATTAAATTTAAAATCCATCTCAGTGATCACATTATTGACAACAAGATGAGACATCCTTTGTATGGGAAAAATTAACCAACATGAAATTAAAACCAGCAGACAACACTTACTGTATGAAGAATACATATATCTCATTCTTGCCATAATAAACATTTTATAATAATACATTAGCCATGATTTATCTCTCTATCATTCATATATAATTGAACCAGTATTTGCACTAATTTATATACATGTATAAGGTACCTACAATGTAACACATTGAGCCAGTATCTACCCTTATTTGTACTAAGGTACTCACATTGAGCCAGTATCTGTACGGTTTTAGGTACATACACAATGAACCCTTATTTGTACTAAGGTACTCACATTGAGCCAGTATCTGTATTGTTATAGGTACAAACACAATGAACCCTTACTTGTACTAAGGTACTTACAATGAGTCAGTATCTGTACTGTTTTAGGTACATACACAATGAACCCTTATTTGTACAGGTACTTACATTGAGTCAGTATCTGTACCATTTAGTTACATACACAATGAACCCTTATTTGTACTAAGGTACTCACATTGAGCCAGTATCTACCCTTATTTGTACTAAGGTACTCACATTGAGCCAGTATCTACCCTTATTTGTACTAAGGTACTCACATTGAGCCAGTATCTGTACGGTTTTAGGGACATACACAATGAACCCTTATTTGTACTAAGGTACTCACATTGAGCCAGTATCTACCCTTATTTGTACTAAGGTACTTGCATTGAGCCAGTATCTACCCTTATTTGTACTAAGGTACTCACATTGAGCCAGTATCTGTGTTGTTATAGGTACAAACACAATGGACCCTTATTTGTACTAAGGTACTT